ACAGACCCAAGAGAAAACAGCCGAGCTGCAAAATGGTTCACCATTTTCCATTAGGACACCCTGACCGACAGTAAGGAGGAAGTTAGATCTGTCTGCAATCATTTTTCACAGAAATGCAGATCTCTCCTCATGAGAATGTTCCATTTTAGGGCCTAATCAAGCTGGTCATGGCATGCCTATCTCGAAACAGGGCAAGGAACTTTAGCCGGTGGCAATGTCGGAGTCACAGAAAAGTCACCAAACAGCGAGACTCAAGGCTACAGCTCAACTTGCGGTGAGGACGACACTAACTTCAGTGTGAACGCCCATCTAGCCCAACTTGGAATGTCTAGGAATGTAATTATGCAACCGTCTGAATTGTCACTGTAGGTTGGAAAGTCTGTCAACGAGGCGGACAGCAGCAGGCAGCAAAGACCTGGTTGGATCTTTCATGCTGCCAGTGGTAAGCACACAGGAGCCTCGTCCTAATGAAAACTACCATGGTAGGCAATAACCGCTTTGTTTTGCAGAACATACGGCGAATGCAAGCAGACAGACCCAGGAGAAAACAGCCGAGCTGCAAAATGGATCATCGTTTTCCGTTAGGACACCCTGACCGACAGTAAGGAGGACATTAGATCTGTCCGCAATCATTTTTCACAGAAATACAGATCTCTCCTCATGAGAATGTTCCATTTTAGGGCCTAATCAAGCTGGTCATGGCATGCCTATCTCAAAAGAGGGCAAGTAACTTTAGCCGGTGGCAATGTCGAAGTCACAGAAAAGTCACAAAACAGCGAGATTCAAGGCTACAGCTCAACTTGCGGTGAGGACGACACTAACTTCAGTGTGAACGCCCATCTAGCCCAACTTGGAATGTCTAGGAATGTAATTATGCAACAGTCTGAATTTTCACTGTAGGTTGGAAAGTCTGTCAACGAGGTGGACAGCAGCAGGGAGCAAAGACCTGGTTGGATCTTTCATGCTGCCAGTGGTAAGCACACAGGAGCCTCGTCCTAATGAAAACTACCATGGTAGGCAATAACCGCTTTGTTTTGCAGAGCGTACGGCGAATGCAAGCAGACAGACCCAAGAGAAAACAGCCGAGCTGCAAAATGGATCATCGTTTTCCGTTAGGACACCCTGACCGACAGTAAGGAGGACATTAGATCTGTCCGCAATCATTTTTCACAGAAATACAGATCTCTCCTCATGAGAATGTTCCATTTTAGGGCCTAATCAAGCTGGTCATGGCATGCCTATCTCAAAAGAGGGCAAGTAACTTTAGCCGGTGGCAATGTCGAAGTACAGAAAAGTCACAAAACAGCGAGATTCAAGGCTACAGCTCAACTTGCGGTGAGGACGACACTAACTTCAGTGTGAACGCCCATCTAGCCCAACTTGGAATGTCTAGGAATGTAATTATGCAACAGTCTGAATTTTCACTGTAGGTTGGAAAGTCTGTCAACGAGGCGGACAGCAGCAGGGAGCAAAGACCTGGTTGGATCTTTCATGCTGCCAGTGGTAAGCACACAGGAGCCTCGTCCTAATGAAAACTACCATGGTAGGCAATAACCGCTTTGTTTTGCAGAACGTACGGCGAATGCAAGCAGACAGACCCAAGAGAAAACAGCCGAGCTGCAAAATGGATCATCGTTTTCCGTTAGGACACCCTGACCGACAGTAAGGAGGACATTAGATATGTCTGCAATCATTTTTCACAGAAATACAGATCTCTCTTCATGAGAATGTTCCATTTTAGGGCCTAATCAAGCTGGTCATGGCATGCCTATCTCAAAAGAGGGCAAGGAACTTTAGCCGGTGGCAATGTCGGACTCACAGAAAAGTCACCAAACAGCGAGACTCAAGGCTACAGCTCAACTTGCGGTGAGGACGACACTAACTTCAGTGTGAACGCCCATCTAGCCCAGCTTGGAATGTCTAGGAATGTAATTATACAAGTCTGAATTTTCACTGTTGGCTGGAAAGTCTGTCAACGAGGGGGACAGCAGCAGGAAGCAAAGACCTGGTTCTATCTTTCATGCTGCCAGTGGTAAGCACACAGGAGCCTCGTCCTAATGAAAACTACCATGGTAGGCAATAACCGCTTTGTTTTGCAGAACGTACGGCGAATGCAAGCAGACAGACCCAAGAGAAAACAGCCGAGCTGCAAAATAGATCATTGTTTTCCGTTAGGACACCCTGACCGACAGTAAGGAGGACATTAGATCTGTCTGCAATCATTTTTCACAGAAATGCAGATCTCCTCTATTGATAATGCTTGATTTTAGGGCCACGATCAAGCGTAATGGAGAGATGCAAGCATTGGCACCTGCCCTCTCAAGCCGGATTTTTCAAGCCCAGCATGGTGCACCTCTATTGTTGGCACATCAGTGCCAACAGTAGAGGAATTAGGAGATGAGGACAGGCCAGTGCTATAATTCTTCCCATTCCATTAGCTGTAATTATTGTTCTGCGTTCTCAGATAAACCTGATAAACTCCAAAAAACACTAGCCGTTAAAATTTTGCTGATTCAGATTCATTTGAAAAACTCAATTTTTCGGTCCCCCACCAGTCTTTATATTTCCCGGAATCTTCGAACAATTTTTGCAATTCTCCTCTTATTGCAGTGTCAACTTCCGTTGCCATGTAGCCCCTTATAATAAAAATGAGGTAGGCCCTCTACGACAGTAGATGAATACGGCGCTCTCATATGAAAATACTGCTTTACTAAATTCACAAAGTGCTGTTTTCTACCTTTCATTTGCCTCATCGAAAATGCCGAAAGACTCCGAACTTTGCGTACATAAATGGAAGCTCCAAATTGATGGTTCAAAAAAACAAAACAAAAAAAACACCCTCTAATTTTGCTAAAAAAAAATTAAATTCAAGAACGCAGGATCCTAGCTATAATTTGTGCAAGCTTTCAAGATCGAGAAAATCGGTGACCGTATTGTCATATTCATTGTGGGCACACCACAATGAAGGCGGATCAAGTGCTATTTTGAATAGCATGTAGTTCTGCACCAGAGATCCCATCCCCAGTTCACAAGCTTAGCCCATCGCAGCAGTTTTAGAAAATTGAAGTATTTTCGGAACCCAACCGACACTTTTCTGAAGACTGTAACACAATGCCTTATCCATCTTTCTTTTCATGTGCTGATGAGCGGACATGCTGTGGAGACTGCACCGAGGCGGGGCAGCCCGCCCGTGTTTCCAATAAATGGGGTTTTCATCCAGGAGGTAGGCTGGTAATGCAGCAATAACATAAGTGGGGTGGTTGCATATAACACTGGAAATATTAACAGAAGTTTTTTATGGCAATTTAAAAACAGTGCTGCATTTTCCAGTCTACACCACGGTTTTCCCCCCGTCTGCAACATTTGTCTTCTGTCATTATTGACCTGCTTGCAAATAAGTGAGGCACATTCGCTAACCTTACGATTGAAATAAACTGCATTAATTTTCCAACAACTTGACTTCTCGGTACCAGAACCTGGAAGGTGTAGAAATTTGCATGACCAAAAGGAAATAATTTCATAATTGAAAACAAGTGATGCCGATGGTAGTACTAATTTTGTGATCCCCTGGATGATTTCTGCATTGTGAGGTCAATACATGGGTCGATGTAACTAGAATATTGCACTATGCCTAACTAAAAACCCGACCGAAATTGTGCCATTTCCTCAAAGTATTTGCATGATGTGAGGGTATACTTGCCAATTATAACGACAATATAAACTAACAATCGTAGTATTCACTGAAATATATAAGCAGATCCTATTTACCACCGGGAGGAAAAATCCAGGGTAACTGGGCTGTGGAGGCATAGAATATTCCATGCAGGATATCTATTGTGCATGCTCAAAAAGCATTCCACAGCCAAGTAAAAAAAGGATTTCGCAGAAGGCTTGGACTGGAAAAGTCTATACTAGAGCACATGTTGAGAGTACAGTAATGAAATGTAGGTTGGCAATGAATTCTAAATAAAAAAAGTAAAACAATTTACAGCATGCCTATAGTCGGTGACAGGTCAAGAACGAAGTGGAAGCTCCTCCCACCTCTTTCCACTTTAGTAGAGCGAATGCTGGAGAGGAGGCGACCTCCTCTCCGTCGTTCGCTGCATTGAAGTGGACTATAGTCACCCAAGCAGAACGTCATTTGTTTGTCATGTTAGCCACGTCGTCATCCAGACCCTCGGAACAATCGACCACGTCCCTCTGAAAACTGCAGCAATCGCAATTCGCCTTTCTTCGCCTCATCGCACCGGCACGCTCAGACGGCTGATGTAGGGAAGCATCTTGTAGCTTCATGCAGTCAGATTTTTCCATGTTATATGCAGTTTTTCCATTTGAAAGAACAGATCCAGAAGAAAGTAGAAGTACACTGCACAACACTGTTAGTGCGAACATGACATCGGTGCTTTTTCTATCTTTACTTTAAAAAGGTATTAGTGGGTGCCAAATTTTACTGCTTAGGTTAGTGTTCCAAATGAGCACTTCTCACGCCCTAGTAGTTTTGATGACAGCCTTTGGATTCTAGGAGGAAAATGAAGCAATCCGGTCGTGCGACTCAAATCAAATTTGGGGGTTTTACGTGCCAAACCAACGACGGGCATCTGGCACGCCCCAGCGGAGGACCGAGGATTAATTTCGACAACCTGGGGATCTTTTGACGTGCAATCGAAAGCTCGATTACCAAGCTGCCTTCTCCGCAATATACCTCCATCAGATTGCAGGCACCTCGGCCGGGATTCGAACCCGCCACATGGGGATCCGTAGGCCGGCACTCTCGCCTCGGAGCCACCGAGGCGGCTTCGTCGTGTGACTGAATGTGACGTAGGTGCACTGGCTTTGGTTTGACTACGATCATGTGATCATAGTTATGGTCACGTGATATCGTAGATAATAGGTCACGTGATTTAGAGGATTCCATTCATGGCTACGAGCGACTTCACACACATGCAGGGAGGGTGAAGAGACAAGGGAAGGGGGTTGCGTGGTCTCTAGGTCAACGCAATTTATTCTGCATCCTTGTAGCCCGCATACACGTCAGTAGGGTACCTGCCCCTAATTGTCTTGACCACACAGGATGGCAGGGGCCGCCTATTCTTCTTTCCCAAGCGGCTCCACAGCCACAGGGCACACTGCCTGTAGGCTGCAAATCTGTAGTGCCTGGAACAATGACAGAGATTGGATGTAAGAAGCAAAGCCTATCACTCTGTTGGCAAATTCTACACTTGTTTTCATTTCTCTAGGCATGTAATCATACTCTTCTTTTCTGTTACGTCCACTCCAGCTATCACATAGCAGAATCCCTATTTGGCAGTCCATGTCGGATGGGCTAGACATGGAAGCCAAATTGAAGTGAACTGCTGTAGATTCATTCTAAATGCTCCAGAGTTTAAAAAAAAAAAAAAAAAAAAAAAAAAAACTATAGGCCTTGGTTCTCCTAACGCACCTCCAACTCCAATCGACACAACAACCAGTTATACACCGGAATTAACAAGGAAGGAATATCTGTTGCGTGGTGATGATACATAAAATAAGTTCACAGGGTCCCAGTTCACAATTGTAGATAATATCTGTCATTGGTGTTGGTGACGAATATTGCATCGCTGTGTTTTGGGAAGGACACATGAAAATTATGTGCACTGGCCAGAGGGAATGGGAGCCATTCATCCAGAACAGTGGAAAGCTCCCCATATGATGTTGTTTAATTTGGGACAAAACAGTGCAGTTCGTAAGCCTGTAAAGCAGTGGTGTGCAAATATTGGTTTGAATCAAATAGTGCACTGTCGTTTCTAGCATCAACAGCGCAAAAAGAGCCGGTTGCATCGGCTTCCCTTTGCAGCGCAAAGGTTATGGCAAACATACTATTCAATTTGAACCAATATTCGCACACACCTACTGCAAAGGTTTCCTGCACACAAGTGCCAGGGAATGTGAACTCATCAGAGAACGTCCCAATTTAACATTGTCTAAAGTGCTGCTGGCACTGCCGAAGCTTGGCATTGGTACTGGTGATTAGGGATTTGAGAATAGCAGCCTGGCCATGAGTGTTCTATGAAGCTCGCACAGAACAGTTTTGGTGTAAACATACGAGCTGAAGTGCTCATGCAATACTGGAGTGGCTCCAGCAGTTGTGATTTCATGTCTCTCCGACACAATCCGTGTCAATATCCGAACATGTCATTCTGACAGCTTCCATTTGCCATGACAGCTGCTACCACCCCCATGTGTTTATTGGTCCTGAATACCTTAGGGCTCAGGGCACCGCAATCATTTGCTATTTGGTCATATACGCATCTGCAAGACACATATATCAACATTTTTTCCCGTTTTAGACTGCGATATGTCTTCCATTATGCTGTGTTGATTTAGAGGTGACACTACTATCATCAGAGTAGTGGGGATACATATGAGCACCCCCAGGCCTCCCCATTCTTGCACGAGAAACTTTGAATTTCAGTGTTTATTTCAATGAATAGTGTTGTTAGAAAAATATTTTAACGAAAAATGATGCGATACTGTTTGGTGACCTATTCCAATCTCGAATCCTTTCTGTCATACTCACCCATGTGGGCACTGCAACATCATCCGTTAAAAAAAAAGCATGGATCTCGACGACGACAGCCTGCTTCTGAATAAGCTGTCCAGACATGGCACTCCTAAAAAACTATCCCAGCATAGCGTGCAAAGAATGCCACACCAGCGGTGCAAGTGTTGCTGGCACCACAAGGAACATGTCGAGATGATCATCCACCGGCTTCAGGGTGTCTGGTATCTGCATCCAAAAATAGTGTAAATCAAGACCCAGACACCCAATAATTATCACCCCACCTTGAGATTTTGGCTTTTCAACTAGATCAGGGGATTAAGGGATCGAAGCTAGGAAGGATTGGAGGGCAGGACGCCTTGACATGTCTCTGACTGGGGTGTTTACTGCCCTATATACCTCCCATGGACCAAAAGCCGTCCCAAAGTGGCAACAAAATATGTTACGGGAGCCAAAGTGTCATGCTGTCAGATGCCGGCAAAGTTACGACAGAGAAAACGAGCAGATGCAAGTGTGGCTGTTGTGGCGTCCCCCCTTGTGACAATCAAGTGAGCACAAACTATTGTGCAGCTCTTGGCACAGCAAATTAGGCAGCTGCCATACGCACATGGACTCTTCTGGCACCGCCAAAATTCTTGACGTGGCAGATTTTTATAAAAAAAAGTAAGCAAACGTAAAACAACGCATTGCAAGCGTCCCGGCTGGTGCCTTTGTTGCAATGATGTTCACATGCACGTAAGGGCAACTTCGGCAGGCTTGCAGTTACACGTGCTTCGTCGCGCGGGCGGAGACAACGGCTGTTCGACCGAAACCGAAACCATGCCACTCCGCGCTCCGTCGCCAACTGCATGGTTCCCAAAATAGTATGCAAAATGTAACTGTCCAGCATACGACAATAAACAGTCCAGCGACTTGTGCTTGCCAGGCCGGCAGGCGAGGTACAGGCTAAACACACAGAAAAAAAGAACCTGAGCGTATCGATGCAAGACACTGCGAATCAAGGTCAAAAAAGTTCTTGGAGCGCTTCGTGCAACGACTGAACTCGAGACAAACAAGCACGCTGTGCGGGTTCAGCGTGCAGACATTGCCTTCTTTGCTTTAGCTCACTTCTCTTCACCAACTTTCTTTTGCGGCAGATTTTTCACGTACCGGGGTCCCTCTCGAAAGAAAGCCCACCAGGAAAAACCTAAGTAATCAAAACTTTGCCAAGCAGTCATTGAGTTAGAGAGGGATTTTTATAGCAGCGTATGATTTAAACAAGAGCAGGAATGTCGATGCGTTTCAGTTTAGTAAGCGCCATATCTGCAGCGACGTGGGGACGGCAACACACGACGTCGCGCGAGCGCTTCAGCTCAAAAAGTAACTCCCGCCGCGCAAAAACGTGGTTTTGTCTCACAGCATGACGGCATGTTTGGCACCCGATACACTAACGTCTGAGAGTCCGCACACGCCCATGTCTACCGCTAAAAAAAAAAAAAGACGCGAGACGAGATTCCTGAGACGACGAGTGCACGAAACGCGAGACGTGGGGAAAAATCATGCAAGACCAAATAGACGATTAATACAGGGTACTTTGTGTCGGGTGGCGTCTTGTGCGACCTAGCTTACGCATGCTCAATTACGGTTCTCAGTTTCGTTTCGTCTATGAAAGGCGACCAAAATTGCTTCTTTGGCGCAGGCTTGGCACGGATTAGCCATATTTCGGTGAAATGTAGCAGGATGTAGCAAAGTTAGCCCCTTGGTGCAGTTTGGCGCAATTGGCGCAGCAATCACATTCCTGCACTGTTTATAAGTGTGTCTCAGCCACGCCTGGACAGATGCCTCCGAGTCATCAATGTCCGCAAAGACATCCTCGCGTGGCTTTCTGAATACGGAGGGCATTATGCTCATTGACTGCATGTAACCGGCCACCACCATCAACATCGCCCCGTATGTGGCTACCCTCAGGTGATTGCGCGATTCACGAGAAGCTGCCAGGGAAAGGGGCGGCAGGTACGCTCTTGCAGCATGACAATGCCCATCCCTACATTCACCGTACTCCCTCAACCTAGCCCGCAGTGACCATCAGCCATTCAGCACCATGAAAAAAACCACCTATGAGGACCCTATTTCATGGACACTGGTGAACTCGAAGCGGCTGTCCAGGCGTGGGTGCGAAGCACTCCCAAAGAGTGGTCTCGGAACGGAAAGGCTGCCACACTACTAGAACCAGTGCGTTCGTCTCCAGGGGGACTACGTTGAGGAGGTCGACACACCTACCGACCCCTAAGTGGACAATATCTGCGGAAAAATAAATCGTAAATCAGTATGGTACGCCCCCCATATGGCTGCACTGCCTTGACAATTATAGTATGGGAAGGAGGAAATTTTTTTTTTTTTTGAGTGCATGGCCTGCAGTGGCATAGCCAGAAATTTGTTTCAGGGGGGTGTTTTACATTGCTGGTGTGTGTGTGTGGGGGGGGGAGGGGGGATACTTTGCATCGCTGGGCGAATGGAAGGTTTCTAGTTCGCATTGCCATTGCATTGTAAACGGTGCACGAACCAGAGCAATGAGCCTTCAATGACTGCCTTTTTGTGTAGTTTCTTGACCAAAAAGCATGCAAACACCGTCTAAAGCCCCTTCTGACAATTTGGATACTGGAGTAAAGAATATGACTTTTGCCGATAGGGTTGGAATATAAGTCTCCACTTGCCTTCTAGAGGAAAGACGTAGTGGCATTCATGGACTCAACAGCAATCTGTGCCTATGTCATCGTTCTCAAGTTTTTGATTGTTTTGACCAGAGAACATTGCACTCGCTTGGGACACCCAAAAATTGAAAGGATGCATTATCGAAATGCTGAAAGAACAAACCGCCGAAATCTCTATTAGCCGAATCACCCGGTACCAGAGACCAAACAATTCCAAAATATTATGTTCAACACGAACCTACAGGGTTCTAGATTGAGAAAGTGGAAGAAACATTTGTTCTGCCAGAGGAATTCTTTGTTTGTTGAATATGATCTAATAGTTTGTGTGTATTTCCCAAAGAAAGCTAAGGATGTTGAGCTTGTCCCAGTTGCCCAAAGCGGCTGTCAGGCTCTCTTCTCGCATGCCTTGCTTCTTGTGTGGTAGATGGCGAGGTTCTAATCTGATTTCTGCCTCGATATCGTCTTCGAGCGCAGCTTGCACATTTTTCATGCTCCTAATTTTGCAGAAGACACTTCCATGATTCCAACACACTGGTGCAGCTAGCATCCGCCAATACCGTACCAAATATGGCGATCAGATATGTACGCATTCTCACCTTTCGGCGTTTTGCTGTTCGGCATTTTATTTTTCGACGTTTCAATGTTTGGCCTTTACATTTTGATTTTCGTCATTTTGATATCGGCCCCTGTTTTGATGGGCTTGAAGGTCACACGCAGAGACTAGACCAGGTAAAAAAACGAGGATGTCTGAGCTGAAGGTGCCAACTGTACTGTCGACGTTGACAGTGCACTTGAAGCAGTTGGTGTTTGTTTCTTCTCAAAAAGATTGCCCAGCATCAACTTAGCTGGCATAGCTAAGCTCATTTTTAAGATAGCAACAAGGCATTGGTGCATGCAAGATAAAGTAGGTGTATGCACTTTTCTGAACTCTTAGCTCTGAGAAACAAAGTGACTGGAGCATCCTTCCCCAACACGGTTGCGAATTACTGCGTCAATATGATAACTTCGTGCTTATTTATTTGTTGCTTCAAAAGTGTTGTTCTGTAGCATAGTGCTGGTCCAGTCCATGAAGCTAGCAGGAAAGAATCTGGAAACAGTCATTCTTCGTTTTTCCGAACTTGGGAAAATGCAAAAGCTACGGCATCAGCAAGCCAATCGGGGCGTGTAAGAACAATGCATGTGACAACGTAATGTCTTCAAGTACTCCTCCTGTGGAATTTTGGCACGTGCTTAGCTCCGTCGCTCAGACTGGCCCACAAGGGCAGTAGCTTTCACCCTTTGTTGAGTTATGCTAAGACAGAAAAGCAAGGAAACTGCATGAGACGAATACAATCTCGGGAGTGAGTTAATCTTCGCCTCTCGTTGACAAAGTAGGACTTTCAAGCCTTTGCGGCCACCTGCTCTCTGCGAGCTTGTAGAGGGGCTTCAGGCGCTAATTCGGCTCTGTTCAGAGACACCATTTGAGCAAGCTGCAAGCCAGACTTGGGTTTCTGACACGGACTGCGTTATCTTTGTCGTTTGCGCCAAAGCCAAACGTGTGGGATATCCACTGCTCTCTTGAGAGACAGAGAAAGAGAGAGAGAGGGAACCTTTATTAGTTACACCATAGTTCGGTGCTTGATTGGGGCCACCAGTGCTCACCCGGTACAGCATGGACATGCTGTACCAGTAGGAGCAGTAGTGTATCAACGAGTTGAAGCTGGGGGGGGGGGGGGGGGGTGAGCCAGCCTGCCTAGTCAGAGGGTCGAGAAGGGTGAAAAAGAGGGAGGTAAGGGAGCATTGGGCATGGGGACAACGCCAAAGCATATGTACATCCAAGGTGTCGCCTTCTATTGCTCTCGACGAGACGAGGCCGTCTCGACTAGAGACGAGGCCATGTGACTGTCATATATTTCATAGTGCTATTGTTGCATAACATTGCATCTAAACAGAGCAAGAAAATGACATATCTAAACTGATAACCGTAAATGCAAGGAAAAATAGCTCTCCATGATCTGGCCTAACGGGAAGAAGTGTAACGCTCGAAAAGGGCGGTCTCGTCAGAACAGTTCGTTTAGAACATATAAGAATATGTGTAGTTTATAGTGGGACAGCAGTTGGAAGTGTCCGTGTTTCTGTATTGAACAAATGACTGGGTGGTAACTAGGCAGGCTGCTTCTCATTTAGTCTCTTGAAAGCCTCCCTGGAGCGCTATATTGCGCCTGGACAGTGGGGGTTATGATTAATTTCACTATCGGCAACACAAACAATTCATCGACCGCTTCCCAGGATGGTGCTAAACGTTCATCTAGCCTAACAACAAGTTATTACAAGTACAGCTGCAACGGAAAAAGAGTAGCACAAGTGACCGACGACCGGAGCGGCAAAATCGCAACACGCGGCGCTATTGTTCCCGAGCGCGCCGATAGCGAGAGTGCCAGTCACGTTCCATGTCTCACCGGGGGGGGGGGGGGGGGGGGGGGGGGGGGGCGGCAGGAAGCAGCCCATCCTAAAGCCCTCATTTTAACAGCTATCTTATCTCCCAATTTTCTGCCGGCCACCCCCGCGCTAAGACATGGAACGTGACTGGCACTCTCGCTATTGGCACGCTTGGGAACAAGAGCGCCGCGTGTCGCGATTTTGCCGCTCCGGTCATCGGTCACTTGTGCTACTCTTTTTCCGTGGAGGCTGTACGTATGTACGCTGTGAATCGGACAGTGAACGTAGTTGCCGAGGGCACGGTCCTCACCGAGACATGGTGAGTTTGCTCACGCGCAAAGCATGACATCGTACTCACTCGCTGGCACTTGCGCCCATCCCTTGCTGCCCGTAGTGCCGCATGTTGAGGTAGGCCAACCTCAACACCTCAGGGTTGAGGCACAGGGCCTCGAAGTCCGGGTGGCCCGTTACGCAGCCCTGCCGGCCCTGCTGCTTCCGTGCGACGGCCGGGTATTCGCGGCAGCAGACGCACTCGACGACGGTCTCCATCGGCGCGCAGGAACCACATAGACACCTTCGCAGAAAACACGCATCAATTACCCATTAAAGCGGGGTATAATGGAGCGCACCACGTACCAGTCCGTGTTCCCAAGCCGCCCGGTTCCATCGTCGGGTGCGTCTTCCAGCTCTTGCGGACTCGCTTCACCGCGGCGCGGCCGTTCGTCGTTGCCACAGTCGGTGCCCGCGGCGCTGCGTTCGTCGACGTCGCGCATCGGGGTCGAATCGTAGGATATGGCACCCATGTCAGCTGTCCGTTCCAGGATTTCGAGCTCTAGAGACGTTAGGTCCGAAAGGTCCATAGCGCGACCGTGGGATGCGACGAACGACGAATGCTGAGCACAAAGTCCGGGCAACTTTGGTCCGGGCCCCTTGACGACGGTCCGCGCGTTGGAGAGATTCCTCCGCGGGTCGGCGGTCGGTGACGCGCAGTGACACTGGAATCCTTCGATTGCCATTGGCTGATGCGTAAAGAGATGCCCCTCCCGTTTTCCGGGGTCATCTCAGAAAGGGGGGCGTGCCGGGGACTTTGATAGCAATTTTAATAGGGAAATCCGCTGCGCATGACTGTAATTTTACGATTTTTAGGATCCTTAGGACCCATAGATTGAGTTACCGCCATATATAGACCATCGCAGAACGCTCCGGAGGGCCCCTTTAAATCGCTGCCCGCGACGTTTTTTATTTTTTATTTATTTTTTATTTATTTATTTATTTATTTTTATTTATTTCTTTTGTGCAGCGAGATAATCTTTAGTCAAGCAGCACGCCCCCTCTACGGCGGGTTATGCCGGATTAACGGAGGCGTCTCCTAATCCATTCTCCGCGTTGGCCCCACGGGGGAGGGCGGTGAAGGGAGGAAAGGAGGGCAGGAGAGGAGGAAACGCAAAAAAAAAGTGGAAAGAGCAAACTTTATTTTCGGCTTCAACCTCGAAACCCGCCCGCTCCGTGGGAGTACCGGAAAGAGAAATCTAGGCGGAAGGAGAGGAAGCGAAGGAAGTGTACGCGATCCCCTGTCCTGCGGGACCAGGTACATCGGGCAAACGGGGCGATGCCTCAACGACCGACTCCGAGAACATCAAATGGACGCCGAAAGAGCTGCTTCGGAGTCCAAGCACCCGATCGTCATTCACGGGAGAAAATGTCCCGGTTGCGCTCCTAATTTATGTAATAACAAAAACAGCTTGACATAACAAAAATAACAATTTAATTAAACGTTGCGCCTCCAATGCGGGAGGCATCTTCAGTAGAGCACAGAGCGAGTGAGAGTCGCACAAAAAAGTTCGGCTATTTAGGCATAAAGTTTGTGTACACGTCCGGCAGGGGGCCACGGTTCTTGTTTACCAGCGATGAATCACTTCCGCGTTTGTCGTTCTGGATGAACCAAGATTCCAGCAGCTTCCTCGGTTCCCACCTTTTATCCCCCTCCAAGGTCATTGCCTTGTCAATGTCAAATTGGTGTCCTGACGTCCATGCGGGTCGACGAGTTCGGACTCGAAGCCGAACGCTGACAGGCTAGGCAAGGCGACAAGGTCACCGGCAGAAGCGGCCTTTCCTTTTATGCGTTGTTGATGCCCCTTCGACCTCGCCTTTTGCAAATCCTCCCCACCTGGTTTTGCGTCTTCGTGTGGCTGTCAGCGAGCTCGACAGCCGCTTTAAGCAAATCAAAAGGATGAAGCGAAACGCGTGACTCAGCGTGACCTCTCTACATAGGACGCGTAGGACAAAAACGTTTGGACGAAAATTTGTCACGTGACTTTCTCTGTCACGCTGATGGGATCTCTGGGGCTGTCGTTTTCGCCGTTTGCCTAGTTATAGAAATAAGCAGGCCACGTAGGTCCGGTTTTCGAACTGGGCTCTTCAGTGTTCTGTTGCTTTCGTGCGTTGCAGACGCGGCCGTGTTTTTTCGTCGTAAACGGTCGGAATACGTCCATGCCAATTTTTCGTTAACAGTCATTTTTTGCACCGGAGTTCGTGGAATACTTGTGATGTGTTTGTTGGACACGCTTCGACAAAAACTGCTCTTCGCCGACGACGAGACGTCAGTTGAATGTGCGCCACCTTCTTCCTCGAATGTGTTTGTGGGGTGCCTGAGTTGGATTATGCATCTATCAAGGATTACATGATATCGCTCTTTTATTAGTAAGTGCAGTGCAAGCATGATTCTGATAGTCGTCCTGCTTTCCTTTCATTCTCCGCGGTTTTACGTGTGATGAGTTTTGCTTGGCATGAGGACAGTGTTAATTGTATTTTATAATTTGCTTTTCGTTTTACAGAGAAGTGTGACCTAGTAAATATGTTGAGAATACACTGTGTGTAATGATAGTTGTTTAATAAACTTCTGGGAGCGATCGAAAAAATTTGTTTGTCCGTATAAGTGATTGGATATGCAACAAATGACATGCAACGTACACATACTTGCACGACGTTCGGCCAATACGAAGCAGACGCATCGTAGAGTTTTCGCACAATATTACGTGAACGCTAGGCCGGGGCGAAACAGCTGTACGGCAATACCTGCCGGGTATCAAACGGTGGTGCAAAACTGGACAGTTGAGCGATATTGGAACCGACTTTCGGCCGGCACTGGCACGATACTGCAAAGTATTGCCGTGCTGCTTGGGAACGGAGGTGATGACATCTTACTATCGTGCTTCCAACGCTTATTTATTTTATTTCTCTTCTGGGACGCGTAAAAGAGCACTTCTGTGACACACCAGAGATATTCGAAACTTGGGCTGGCCTCTCGGCTTTCTTTGCCACTTTTGGCACTTACTTGGCACTTCAGTGGGTAGCCAGGAAAGAGCCAAACTTCGGCATGCCCCGAATCGACAAATTAAGATTTACTGCGGCAGTTATGGCTCAAGTCTGGCACTTACTTTGGCACAACTGTGGCGGACCAGAGAAAAGCCAAACTAGGCGAGGCTGAAATACCGAAATTAGGCGTTGCTTTGGTAGTTATGGCTCAAGTATGGCACACTTCGGCACTCCTGTGGCGTATCAGAGAAACGCCAAATTTTGGCGTGTCCGAAATACCCAAATTAGGCGTTGCTCTGGCAGTTATGGCTGAATTATTGCATCAACTTTGGCGCTCCTCTGGCGGACCAGAGAAACGCCAAACCTTAGCACGTCCCAAATACCGAAATGAGGCGTTGCTCTGGCAGCTATGGCTGAAGTATGGCACCAACTTTGGCGCTCCTCTGGCGGACCAGAGAAACGCCAAACCTTGGCACGTCCCAAATACCGAAATTAGGCGTTGCTCTGGCAGTTATGGCTGAAGTATGGCACCAACTTTGGCGCTCCTCTGGCGGACCAGAGAAACGCCAAACCTTGGCATGCCCCGAATTCCCAGTTTAGGTTTTACTATGGCAGTTATGGTTCAAATCTGGCACCAACTTTAGCGCTCCTCTGGCGGACCAGAGCAACGCCACACTTTGGCATGTCCAAAATACCCAAATTGGGCATCGCTCTGGCAGTTATAGCTCTAGTATTGCACTACTTCGGCAATCCTGTGCCGGACCCGAGAAAAGCCAAACTTTGGCACGTCCCAAATACCGAAATTAGGCGTTGCTCTGGCAGTTATGGCTGAAGTATGGCACCAACTTTGGCGCTCCTCTGGCGGACCAGAGAAACGCCAAACCTTGGCACGTCCCAAATACCGAAATTAGGCGTTGCTCTGGCAGTTATGGCTGAAGTATGGCACCAACTTTGGCGCTCCTCTGGCAGACAAGAGAAATGCCAAACCTTGGCACGCCCCGAATTCCCAGATTAGGATTTACTATGGCAGTTATGGCTCAAGTATGGCTCCAACTTTGGCACTCCTCTGGCGTACCGGAGAAGAGCCAAACTTTGGCATGCCATAGGATCGCCCAACTAAGGCTATAGTTAGGCACCGTACTTTGGCACTGATGAATGCCATGGTGCAAAAACCTAACTGCGCCAAAGTTGGGCCCTTATGTTTGCCAGACCTTTGCCCAAGTTGGGCATTCCTCTGGCGTGCTACCTGGGAAGGTATTAGTATTATTCAATACTACGAAGCACGTCTGAACTAATTGTGGGGAAAAGGAATACAATTCAGGGCGTCCAAAATGAATCTGTCAATTTTGAAACGTGTGAGAATCACAACATTTTTGTGAAAAAGAGTTTGTTTTTTTTTTTTTGCAGAAAACCTGACTGTCAAAGTTTTTACTTATAGTTTAATTGGGCGTTTCAAGCACTCCTAATGAAGAGACGAGTGTTTCTGTTTTCTCATAAAATATCTTTCCCATATAGAGATTGGCAGGATGTGCCTCGAATAACTGAAGCCAAATCTGAAACGTGGACTCGGTGATAATAAGAACAAGCTAAATTATATCCTCCACCATCACACCGCGTTTTTGCTAGTTGAATAGCAAATTTTAAAGCAATTGCGTAAAAATAATATTAACCTAAGACACACACTGCGTCTTTCTTGTGGGGATCATTAAAAACTGTCTGGCTTCATTTCGAATACCTCTGAGCACAAAAGTATGAATCTAAACATGTAGACGCCTAATTTTCCGCAAAAAAGCAAATCAGAAAATCGTAATCTTTCTGTTCGACATTATTCTAAGCATTGACAAGACCTTATGAATCCCCAGTCTATACCGAAACATGCATAAGGCATATTTTATAATATACTAACAGTGCATTCATACCTTAGAACGTGAGAATACAATTAAGTGGTGATAAGTAATGAATCAAACAATATGGAAAGACGAAGCGAAATTCGTAATTAAAGGAGTGGGTTTGGTAGTTTTGGTTACAGCACGGCCAAATCACCTACGCCGATCCTCTTGACGAAGAAATTGCAAACACACTAGTGGGGAAAATGGATGTTGTGTTCGTCAAGTGTATCAGCAGAAAAGGTTTTGCTATCTCGTACCATCTGCGAGACTTCCCGTTATAGTTGTTTATGGACAACTATATAACTATATAGTTATAGATAACCATATAAGTATTAGAGCAGTTGTCCAATTTACCTAATTGACATAGCTTCATCTAGATTACTATTCTTTTTTTTTTAGATTTGGGGTGGTTTATTATTATTTTTTTATTTTTTGAAGATTGGCTAACTGATCTTACGATGGCTGGGTTGGCTAGTTTTTTGTTGAAATGAATATCAAGGGAGGAATATACACTTTTAAAAACAGCATCGAGCAAAGTTGGCGGTCGTTATTGCTTGCGGACGAAACGTGGGATGTGACGCGAGTCTTTTGTTAAACGCTGACGTAGCCCTCTTATCCACCAGTTGCTCATATCTTGTGCTTTTTTCTAGAAAGTAGCGCGCGCCCTCAAGCGGCGTGCGTGAGGCATCATGGGAACAGTGAGGGTCTGCGCCGTCGTCTGGTGCTAACACCGTACCGCCTGCG